ATCAACAATCGAGATATCAAGTCTAAAGATGTCCAAAGTACCCGCTTTGAGCAAACAAAAGTCATAAGGCACATGCCAGCACCACGGATGGAAAAAGGGGTGCACCCACACAACCACCCTTTCACTCCATGGTGCTCTTGGAGTTGAACCTGTTTGCTTTCTAGTAATGGCCTCCACCTAGTAGCTTCTAGTTACTACAGGTGAAACGATTCCCAAGGACGCTTCTAGCTCCTAGCAGCTTCTTGCTTCTAATGGCGGTGCCCTTTGCTCCGTTCGTAGCGTCCCTTGTTCCTATAGTAGTAAGGCCCGGCCAGGAGCCCCGTTCGTAGCGTTCGACCGCTCCATTCGTAGCGATGCCCTTTGTTCCTATATATAGAATGCTTCTTTGGTTCGAAAGAGTCCCCGTTCATGTCGGTGTCGATTCTCTCGCCCCGTTCGTGCGCGCCTGTCCACTGACCGAATATGTCCAGCGAGGCAATTCTGACGGGCATATACGGTTGTTTTTTGGGTGAGGTTGCTGAGGGAAATTGTCCACCTGGACCCTCCAAAGTACCTTGGAAAATGGGTCATGAGTCATGACCCCATTAAAAAAATAAAAAACAAATCAGGTATAGTACAAAACGTACCCATTGTCCGAGGTACGAACTGAGAGTCCAGGCAGCATCTTTCAATCAGCTTTGACCCTATGACCTCAAAAACCCCATCGGAAGAGTGCCGTCCGGATCGGAAGAATGGTCTCGGTCTTCGAAGCTTAAGCAAAGGGTCTTCGAAGCACTGGTATAACCCCGTTCAGCGGCGCACCAGCGTTCTGGTCCCGAAGAACAACGGACCTGTTGCGAGCAATGTTCAGCGTTTTGGGTGAGCCTTGAACACCCCTCGCTGGTGTCCAAAACAACACACCCAAAGGCGCATGAAAAGGCCCGGCCCAAGAGAGGAAAAAGAAACATGAAGCATGGCTCATCGGCGCAGTAGTTCTGCTCATGTCACGTGACGTGCTGTTCTCACCCCGGCGGCGATCCCGGGTCACACCAGCCTGACTCTCCCAATGGACCAAAGACTGTTCGAGCCAAGTGGCGGCCACAGTTGGTGTCACACGTTCGGCGGCGGGGTTCGCGGCAGTTTGGGTGGGAGCATGAGATGTTGTTGCCAAAGCCAGGTGTTAGCCTGCCATTTGGTTGATCATAATATTCTGAAATAGACTGTCAGACTAATGATAACTCATTTGAAGCACGGGTAGAGATGATGGTCACAATGGTGGTCATGCTGCCATGGGGGAAGCTTATCTGCAGACCAACGGTGCCCAAAACACTTCATGTCAAACCCAAGAATGAAGACAAATAATTAACAACCAACCTTTTCATAGCCGCGATCAGGTGGCTGGGCTGTACTTCACCCGTGAATCAGCTGCGGTTCACCCGTGTGCGCTGATCGGTTGATCAGACCACCCCGCACCGGAGGAACGAGGTTCAAGACCTGGTCGCGACCAACGACGGAACCGTTCCTGGTCTGGTTGCCAGGCTGCGCTGCCAGTCACACGTCCGAACGCTCCGAATCCTCGGACCTCGACCAAGCCAGGGCCAGAAGTCACGCTCACCACGGGCAGGTACGTTTGGATTCCGGCCGGTGCACCGCTACTGCTACTACGGCTAATGCAAAAAGGCGGTTGGCATCGGCATCAAAAGGCACTTTAGAGGGTTCTGGGAGGAATCTCGAATCCCAAAGTCCTACAGGTGTCAGGCCATGTCAGGCCGATTGCTTGTAGAAGGCGGACAAACCAAACCATCGTCGAGCGGCGCCGAGCCCACACACCACGTAGACCGACGCACACCACTCGCTGAAAATCCATATCAGCGTTGGCCCCGGTCCTTTGAGACCCGATCGGTGAAAAGAACCCGCCCATTCAACAGGGAGCCCATTCGTGATGTTCCCAACGAGTGTAGCGAAAAGAAGTTCCCGAGGTTTTGGCACTCAAAACACCACCACCCCACCACCAGCAGCACCACCACCACCACCACCAGCAGCACCAGCACCAGCACCAGCACCAGCACCACCAGCACCAGCACCACCACCAGCACCAGCACCAGCACCACCACTGCCAAGAAAGTGAAACCTAGAGTTTTTTAGCATCCATCCAGTGGCTGCAAATCCAAAAAGCGCTACCAACTTCTGAGGAATGCTGAGAATTGGTTCTCGGAAGATGTTTTCGGACCATGATAGGGAGCCGCCTCCCCGGCCCAGCCACAACCCGCACAGAGCGTTCGCCAGCGCGCTCGCGACTCGCCCAGGTTTTGCTTTCTCGTTGACGGTTTACTGTTGAGGCCAGGGAGGGACACGTCTGTTGGAGCAAATGGAATCCGAACGTCCGAACACTGCATGCTGCATGTGGTGTTTTTAGATGTTTATAGTGAAGGTTCATGCAACAAAAGAATTGTAAATAGATGTAGAAGTGGAACTTCAAGGGGATTTGTAGCAACAAAAACTACTATAGCCTCTCTGGCAGTCCCACAAGTCCTCGGTTTTTTCAACTGTTTGTTGCACATTGTTGCACAAATGTGGACAGCCAGCTAGTTCGTCAGTTTACACGAATTTGCACCACAGTCATATGTACCCAGGACCCACAACCCTGGAAGCGGAGGTCAGACCAGCTTTTCATTGAGGCTATGAAACCTTCCCAACGACAAGCACCGATTCCGTAGCCTTTCAAGTACCGATTCACAAAGGACTCCGTCACGCTTTGATCAAAGGTGAGGCCCGTTTACCCTGAACATGATCGGTGCAGAAGTGGTTTGAGAACTTGTACTGCCTCTTGCTGCTTGTTCTATTGTATAAAGGCGGGAAGAAGAAACCCACCGGTCACTATCAAAGAGTTCTGAAAGATCCCGAAGTGCATCTGAATTCACCTCAACTTGCACATTGATTTCTCCTTCAAACCTCTAGCTCCAGCAACCTGCCGGTCGTGTTTGTTCCATCTCGTCAGGATAGCCACAAGACCTACAAAAAATGCCTTATGTCCTCTCCATCGCCGCTCCAGCATGCTCCAGCTCCGCGCCCCCCCCATTCCAGCTCCGTTGCCAAGCGCAGCGCAGTCGCGGTCGGCGGGGGTTTCGCCATTCAGCTCATCTGGTCGAACACCCCGCGAAAACCGATGGACCGCTCGGTCCAGTCTCGACAGGGAGACCAGTGAGCCGATCAGAAAGCAATGGGTGTCCTAGTTGTATCTAAAGAACACACTCACGCATTATAAGCATATACTACATAAATGTATATATTATAGCTAGCTATAATAGTCAAACTGTTACAACAAAAATGGAGGAATTTCACATCGATTTGTGTCTTTCAAACTCTAAGTATGGAGTCAAACATTTTTGTTGCAGCACAGTGCCCCACACGAATGACATGGCGCAAACAGTGGTCTATGAGCAAACAGCTATGACATGGCTGCAAGACAGACAACAAATCAAATGCCATCATGTTCCTGGACCAATGTGTTGGTGGCAAAACACAACACTTGAACAAGGACACCGATTCATTCGGTGCTGCCACCAGCCGGAAAATTGGTGAATCGTGTATATAGTTTACTTATATGTTTCCCCAAGAAAGAACAAAATCCCAAAAGTTCACAACATGAAGTGTATTACCCTGCATTTGTCTACAACTATCAGGGTTAATGAACGAGTTCTCCAACACCGGAAGTCAACCTGGAGGCTGAACCATCGGATAAGTTCTCTTTCGACATATCCAGCAGATACCTAAGCATTGCTTCGATGATCCCACAAAGAAAGCATTGGCAGTCTGGGCCGCAAAATCACAAGGTACAAACACATGTTGTTTTGTCTATTTCTTTCTGGCAAATGTTAATCTGTTCTTCTGCTCAGTGGCATTCAAACCAACACATCTACACACACCCAAGCGTCAAAGTTGTTTTGGGAGGTTCCATGTCCATCGACATTCTATCTACTGAAAATCTTTGCTGATTCAATCCCTCCATGCGACGCGCCGATGATGACGCCGCAGCTCGTACGAGCTGAGGACTTACGGTGAAGACCGACTGCGGTGGCGAAGTAGCTACTCTTTGCCATGTCGAAAGAAGTGCATTGTTCTCTGGGTGAGATCAATACTGGGTCACCCTCTAAATTGCAGCTATGTACTTCTTTTTCAACGGCCTGGGGGCAGCAGCTTACATTACAAAACGGGTCATGCGGAAAGCAGCAAAGGTCGGTTGAACTTGCCAAGTTCATGCCGAATCAGGATGGCTTTTGGGTCGTTCGCTTAAAGATACTGTGTCGTCATTGACACGTAGCTGGTTGAACATTGACTGACTCTAACTACCGAAGGTGGTGAAAGCTGCTTAATCTTCTTCGCCACCTGACCTGATCACGCCGAGGATTTGCCAAAGATGGCCCCAGAGACATTCTCATGTGCCATCTTCTATGATTTCAGGGCTGTCAAGGCAGTCCACCAAGGATAGAAATGATTACGCCCAGGATCTGCATCATTTGTGAAGTATACCAGGAGTTGAGTCAAATAGCCGCTATAGCCCCAGCTACGCAGTCTGTAGGTTTCGATCGTATTTTTGGTGAGGGTAATTGTAGTGGATTGAGAGTAGATGGCACAAGTTACCCCAAGTTACCCCAAAAGACATCTTGCAGTACCAGTGCCATCGAACCTCTGAAACCACTGTACATGGCTCAGGGTGCTCGATTCCATCGGGGCTTCCCTTGCATTCCCAACATCCTCATCAAACGGAATGATCTTCTTTGGCCATGTACCAAGTTGAACATGACTCTAATATCTAAAAATTATGCTATAGAAATCTAAGAACTATTTCTAAGTGCTTACGCCAAGTCAAAACATGGTAATCAACACTATAAGACATAATAATTTAATACCTATCACAGGGTTTTGAGGGTGACATCTATCTTCTCCAAATCTTCTGGCACAACGTCCCAGGTTGGTCACACTCCGGCACTGCACAAAAGCCACAACCGGCGCATAACCACCTATCGTCCACCAATCCTGGCGTGGGGAACTGACTCAACGAGCAACGAAGATCCCAATGTTGCAACTTGAAAACATACCCGTGTGTACTTAGGCCTGACCTGAACTCCTAGACAATATGTGTTTAACACAACTGGGAACACCTAGATTTGTTTGATATAACGTAGGTCCTCCTACAGGAACAAATAGATCGATTCCAGACGGGTATCTGTTACCCTAATCCTGTTGACGATCCTGCTACTTCAAGGATCCTGCTGATGAATGGTGCAACGTTTATCCTAATTTGTGTTACCCTATCCTAATCCTCTGTTGTCAAACAACTGCTAATGAATGCTCGTCTCACACACACACAAATGACACACGAATCACCAATAATCACCCTGCTACTTCACTCATGGCAAAGTGCCAACCCTAGTGAAGTACCACGATTTCTTCATACCTCCTATAACCACGAATCTTCCAACACCTCGTCTTTGGACCTCAACATCAGAGGCAGGCAATCGGCAACACCCCTTCTCGATGGATGGATGAAAATGGATTCGCATCGTGTTTGCGGATGGATGGCCTTTGGTATGATGCTGGCTGTGGCAGGGCTGTGGCTGTAGATGATGCCACCAGTGTTCCCCGACCTGGCCACTTGGTTTTCCTGGTCGGGCTCCAAGTTGAACGACTCAGAAGTAACCCCTGTGTTGATGCCACAACCTTAAGCTGCGCCCTTAGTGGATGGTGACGCCGGATCCTTTAAACAGCGGCCACCGTCACCGCCGTCACCGAACCCACGTCGCGGCGACCAGACCAACCACCGGCGTTCCTCGGAAGAACCCGTCCTGGGAGGCTCTTTGTTGCCTCCTCCTTGGCAACAGGCCTTCTTTGGGGCCTCACAGCGGTCGGAACTTGTTTGAACCGTTTGAACGGTCGGTAGATCCTCGTCACCGTCCGAGAGTAACCCATCCGAACCCATCGTCTCGGTCTCAGGCAGGTCACCAGTGAAACACATCCATCCTGCTTGGTACACCACGAGATGATTGCCAATCTTGAACATGAATCCCTAAGAATCCATTCAACTGGGGGATTGACCAACGACAAACCGGGCTGGTTGAAATGGCATCAATTTTGGCAATGTTCAAGTCTGGGTTTGGTAATGGGGTCTGTGTTTGTTTTGTTTCTGGTGGCTCTAAAGACATTCATCTGGAAGTCTTGACCTCAACACCCCCCAAGCCACTAGAATCTATGCAAAAAACATGCAACAACTCACCAAACGGCACCTCTTGAGATGACACGCCTTCCTCCCCCGCTTTGCCCGTCGTAGTGACCCTCTGCCATTTGCGAATTGACACACCAAGTTGCTCCTCCGCCCGCAGGCCCAGGGTTCCCAAGGCCTTGGACGACGGCATGTCGTGAACCCTGAGGAAGGTGGTCCTGCCGTTGATGAAACAACTGGATATCCCTGGTACCGTTGCATACATGTTCTAAAGTTGGTAGGTTTGCCATCCCTCCTGAAAACACACCCCAACCAAGAGCAATCTCCTACTTTTGCCACCGTTTGCTCAATCCACCTCAAAACGGGAAGACCTACATGTATATCATCCTTTGCCGGTAACATTAACTTATAAGTCGCAAATTTGAACAAGCAACACTGGTGAAAACAAAGCGACAGTGGCCTTCATGGCAACACTGAGCAAGCAAAATCATGCCAGCCTTCACCCGACTGAACAGGCCAGAGTGGTTCCACTGAAGCAACTTACTTACTGACTTGCTGACTTACCTTACTTTATTTGATTTATTTTAATCTACTTTACTGACTTTACGTACCTTTACAGCGCTGACGCTCCTTTACTCTATTTTACTTACTCACTTCCTTGCTTGCCTGATTGCTTGCTTGCTTACTCACACATTATAGCATTGTGATACATTGAATCAAAACGTGGCGTTCACCACTCCGGTATGGCGTCAGCTGTTGAAACAACACGGGACCGCAACGCTAGAACACAGAACACGGGACCCTAGACATCCCAACAAAACCACAAAACATATGCACCAAAACACGATGTCTGTCAATCGTGTCAAACCAATCACCATTCCTGAGCTTTTCCTGCGGCCAATTCAAAATGTGGACTTGTTGAAAAGGGTCCTCATTGCTGGTCTGCAGCAAGTTCAACATGCCAGCAAACATACCCTGCCCAGCCACCGAGCCACAGGGAGTAGCAACAACTTCACCCACTCACCCAGTCAGCAACTTCTCACAGCTTCATCACTGAACACCATCTCAACACAATCCATTTGGGTGTGGTGTGTACTTGGGTTTAGGGAGACCGGGTTCTGGTCTATAAATGTCCTTCTTCCACAGGGTCTTTGGGAGGTCTCCTTATTTTGATACGCACCCAAATTGGTTTACACCCACTCAAGGAACCCGGCGTTCTCCTGCCTCCTGCTGCTGTCTGGGTCGCCCAACCGATTGGCCCCGATTGCCCAGGAGCTGCTTTGGCTGCCGGCTGCTTTTGTCTCCTCCTGAATAGTCGCTTGGACTTCGGCAAAAAAGAATATCATGAACTATCATATGTTCAGCGTTGTCAATGCTTTCGTTCCTCTTAGAGTCCAAACTGTGTGGGGCGGATGGGCATATGTCCGGACATGCAACGGTGCAAGCACCACTTGAGCATAGATAAGCCCTTTTTGCCTTGATCACCCCTTGAAGATACACATATTCACCCACTGGACCCAGCATGGCTCAAAGGCTCTATAGACCTCCTCACGTCACGAGTTTTCAAAAAACCGGTGACATCGCCCGCGGCCAACGACCCTTGAGAAGTCGGAAGGCTGAATCTGCTTGAATATAATTATATATAATGTCAAGTTAGGATTAATCAATCCCCCCTAGTTAACCCGAGCCCACAAAGCCGCCGAAAATTACCCAAATTAAAAGTATTATTCGCTGTTGATTTCCCCCCCTATGGTCTACTTTTCTACCAACAGTCCCCCCCAGTTAATCCGAGCCTACACAATCCCAAAAAGAGTAATATTACTTTTAATAAGGGGTTAACTAGTGGAGGTTTATGTATCCTAACTTGACATTATATCCACATAGTACTCATGAGGGAGCTTATGCAATCCTCATCAGCCAATGCCCAAAAGGCATTGTGGAGCAGAACCATGGTGGCTTATGAGACTACCTCACCTGCTCACCAGCTCATACCCATTCTGAGCCCAAATGTTACCAGCCAGTTTCTCTCATCCCTCATGGTCCAATAGACTGTTCCTCTCACCAGGACTCTAGCCTCATGCTCATCAGCTCATCCCCTCTCAAACCTTCATGGTCCAATGGTCTCATAGCACATTATTCAGGGGGGGTGGACCTCATGAGTGGTATCTCAGACCTTGTTGACCTACCATGTGGGGGGGGGGGTTATTAATCCGGGGTTGACATTATAACAAATTGTGTATCTTTAACAACCTATCAGCCAACATCTTTTGAAAAACCTATCGATCCAAAGTCAAAGTATGTATCTCCATCTTTTCATCGCGGACTTCCCCGAACAAGACGACCCGGCCAGTTCTCGGAACGAGTCTTGTGCATCGCCTCATCTCCACAAGGTTCTGCGCCGCCGTCAAGAAGGCCATGTCCACGTTCGCCGCCGTCTTGGCCTCGGTTGGGACGTCGGCCCAACGGAGGCGCGGCGCGACACGTGACGCGACGTGACGTGTCCGACGTGAAGGCGTCGTACTATTACGGGTGGTCAATGGGTTTTGGTTTGTATACGGGTGGATTCTTTTCATGATCGATGTGGTGGGGAGATTGAGATCAGTCGCATTGGATTGGTGGATTCGTGCTTTAACAAAAAGGAAGGTACTCGGATGCCAGGGAGGAACCGGAACACATTGCCCATGTCTTTCGAAAATCATTGGAGGAAGTAGCTAGTGTCACCGGAAAGCTAGAAGAAGCTGTATGATTCAGGGAAAGACTCTGTCACCACTTGGGATGCAGAAGTCACTGTATTCGGATATTATCGCATCTCAGGTGGTGCGGGGTTTTCCCTTACACCAGGACAGCTAGACTTGCCCAAACTCATGCAGCTCCTAACATGGAAACCACACGCCTGGGGGAAAACAAATCTGTATGCTCACTTTGTTATTGTGTTTTGCCGGATTAAAGAACCACTCGTTGTGCATATTTGTGCATGGCATACTCTTGGTGTCGAAGCCCAGATAGGGCAAGGAACACAATAACACATGGCAGTAATCATTCACTTCCTTCGATATTCATCAATGAGTCACCGCCATCACCTCCAGGTCGTGCTTTCTGATATAGGTGTTTTCCTCTGCGCTTTCTGCAAACCGGCACCGGTACGGCAGACACAGGTCTGGACCCCAAATCCACCATGCCCTATTGGTTCCTCTAAGGAACGAACCGTTACCAGGCACCTGTTCTGCATCGTAGCAAGCGAGGCGTACCGTTCTGTCCCTCACTCGAGCTCGTCACTCGGTAGTGTCACAGCCAGCGACGAACGAGGCTCCGAACGGAGGTCGCAATAAAGAAGGCGCCCATCTGTTCAGCCTGCGTGACATCGCACGAGGTGCACCAAAACTGCATGGGACTGTAACCTCACAAACCAAGTGAGGGGAGTTTCCTGCAACAAGACGACATAATGGTTGAAAGTTGATGTGATCTTTGTGGCGAACCTTAATTTGTCCATGTGCTTAACTTGTGTCCCCCCCAATGTTCACTGCAACGGTGAGCTGCTAAACCTTGGACCTGGTTGGAAAGATGTTCCCTCACCGGACGAATTCATGTGAATCGGGGCCTGTCTCCCTGCAGGGAATGGGACCGTTGCAACCTTCCCTCTGCCGGGGCTTCTCTCTGCAGGTCCCCAGGCGGCCAAGTTGAACAGTTCCGATGTTCACTCGGTAGCAGCCAACGAGAGGGAAACGGAAACACACGCCGTGGGCAGACGAACCAAACCTCCTGCCCAAAATGGTGAAAACAGGTTATCCACTGACGGGGTAGTGAAACATCGCAATAACGGGCGAACACACTCAAGTGTTCCTTTGCCATGGGGCAAGGCGAACTGGCAGTATAATTCCTAGCTCTGTCCAGGTCCGGGTCATCTGATCGCAAGGGTTCGATCGTCGGATAACACAGGGTCTTTCCCCAAACACAGGGTCCTTATGTATCAATGGATGCAGCTCATGCAGGTCAAGCGGTTGACACTCTGCAGGCATCCATGTTACATATCCATCGATTGTTTGCTCACATGTTGCCAACAAGGATTGCTGTGCTTCTCCGCCTGGGTATATGTTCATGTCCAATTTTAGATCAGGGATACAATATATATAGCCACAGAATAGCTTCTTCAAACTCTTGCGCGTGGTGTTCATCCCCCTCTTCATGAAGAATTCCTTGTGTTTTTGCAAGCTAGACCTTGCTTTGCTGATGACTTGGACTAACTCCTGCTTTTGCTCATCCCCAATTTTGCCTTCTAGCCTCTACTCTAGCATGATCATGGCCATGCCAGCCTGTAGCATCGGGACATCTTTTTGCTGGCACTCTCTCGTCCCTCCGATCTTGAGACCAAAACCATCCCAAATCTTCCGTCCAAACCCGCAACCTCATCTTCTCACCCATCTCTCCCCACCTTCGTCCCCATCCCTTTCCTCATATCTCCACCTCCACCTTCTGACCGGTGCTCGCCCGGTGTCGGGCGCGTTCGCCCGGCATGCCTTGGCTCGTCCCTCTTCCTCAGTGACCTGCAGCTCATCCAACATGTCGCACTTGTTCCCCACCTGGCGCGGCAGCGACAGGAGTCGTGACCAACCGTTGGTGGGTTTTAACCACCTGTTCACAAGCGGTCGTGGTGGCCTGGCTGCCTAGAAATGAACAGTGGAACAAACACCTGAAGGATATGCAAATAAAAACTCATGGAATCGCGCTTCAATTTGCCATGCTTTGAGAAGGTGAGAACAGCCATCACTCGACATAATATGGCTCGTCATGAAGCTAATTCTACCGGCACCCACATCGTACCATGAAAGTACTTGCCTCAGAACTCTGGGCTCCATTTCCACACATGGGTCTTTAGGACATCATTCTGAATATGTCTGAACTCCCAAGTGGGATCTTGGATGATCTTGGCATTTGGGCCCATCGTCACATTCCCCGATAGCTTTGCCTAACACCCGATAGCTGCGACTTGCTGGTCACACTATCTTTCGTCCTCCCGGAGGGTCAGACCGATGGGTCGTCCGACCATGTGGAGAGCCTTTTTTCGTTGGCAAAGCGCTGAGTCTGTCGTTGAACCCGCGGCAAACTGCAAACGGTCCGCCGGGACGTCCTTATGTACAAGAGTTCGGACTGGACCAGGAGGCGACACCCGGGGGCGACACAAGTCTATGGAGTTGGATCCAATGATCCTCCTCAGGATTTTGTGTTTCACGAGTTCGCACGAGTTAGGGGGAATGCATTCAATCACTGAAAAGGATCAAGGAAAGGAATGAAGGAACCCATTTCACTCTGGCGGGTCAATCTTGAATACCCTGAACCCTATCTCATCCTATCTCCTCGAATACCCTGAACCACGGAAAAAGCCCCAAGCTGGTCAAAGCTCTTGTCCAATCGCGAAATCGGCTCACTTGCCAGCACCCGAGTTCCGGCCACCGCACCGAGGACAGAAGTGTACATGATGACCTGGGCGCTGCGGCTTGGGCGTGTATTGATGAGTTGAGCTATTGGTCGCGCAAGACTCACAGGTGTGGAAAAGACTGCGGCCACTTGCAAGTGGCTGCAAGTGGCTGCAAGTGGCCGTGTTTCCGAAAAATGTAACATATATGTGCCTCCTGTGCTCTCAATGAGAACTTAAAGTAAATGGAAGCGAAAAGGGAAGTGAGACTCTTAGATGGATGGTGGGCCTACCAAATAGATAGCAAGGCATAAAATATGACGGCCCCTTTCTCCCTCAAACAGCTCTGAACAGCTCCAAACAGCTCCCCTTCCTGTCCGACCTAAAGTCTTTCATATGAGAATCTCACCTCTGCCAGCATCCGATGGCCAAGGGCTTAACAAACACCCAGCCATCAATGTTGGCATCCAATGTCTGAACATCTGGAATTCTCTGACCAAAAGCACTGGCTCCAGTGCAGGCTGCAACCAGCTTGCCAACTTTCGCGATACCTAGCTTCCAAAGTCAAATTCCCTGCAAATCTTGAAGAGTGAGCGTTGTTCTTGGCACACCAGGTTCTAGGCCTTGGTGGTTCCTTCAAACTGGGCATGCAAGTTGAAAGCAAAGTAAGCTACATCCGCCCGCAGTGAGAACTGTTGAAGTTAATCCATGTCGTGCACCATCTATGTCGTGCACCCAAACAAAATTGTGAGACACATGCAGTGGATCGGGTATCTCTATATATTTTAGCCTGTGAGTCTTGTTGATAATACAAGGTGTTCCAACATGTTCCAACAGTAGCTTGGTATTTCTCGCCCCATCCCCATATACATCTGTTTCTACCAAAAACCAGTTGAGATCTCCTGGGCGCCCGGACCCTTCAGCCGCCTTGTCCCACTCTCCATAGACTCCCTAGACGACCATCACCACTGCCTCAGTGGTAAGGACACTTCTGAGAAGTGAACTCGAAACAAACACAGGCAAACAGGCTTTTCATAGTTTTTCTAGAGCCTGCTTCCAGGCCTTCCAGGTTCTTCCTGTCGAATCACTTGCTTCTTCACTCAAATCACGAAGAACTTTTGATGTGGTAAAATCTCGAGATCATTCCTAAGTCCATCAGACTGGGCTGGACATTTGAAGAAACGAGCTTCTATAGAATAAGACCGTACAGGTCTTGCGGACCACATTTCACTTGAACAGGTCATGCAAACACACTATTCAATAAGATCGGTTACCAGCTTTCACTTCCTCCTTGAACTGTTACATCCCCCGTGAACCTCCCCTCAACCTCGTCTCGCAGCCTCCACGCTCGGCAGCGGGCAGGGTCCAGCATCGCAGGCGCCCGCGAGCAGCTGGACGACCTCGCCCCGTTGCCAAGATCGGAAGGCCTCCTGGGTCGCGCCGTGGAGTCGCGTCGGACCGTCACTGAAGAGGCCCGGTGACGGTCCGGATGGTTGGAAGGTGACCACTATAGTCGGGGCGAGTGGGTCTAGTCTGTACATGTCAAGAATTTCTTGGAGTTGGGGCATCCCCCAAAAGGAGATGATGTTCGTTTTTGGGCGGTTTTTTCATTGGACCAAGTGGTCTATACCAGTTTCCATGTTGGGGATTTGGAGGGGGGGTTACCCATCAGATGAAGAGGGATCACCGCAAAGAACATACATAAGGGCAAATCCCAAGACACAGAGTCATCTCAAGCTTCACTCAAGTCATCACAGCCTACCTAACGATCCAATTGCGTTTCTCCTATAACCGTAATCAATCTTCTTGTCTCCTTCTGGGATGCCTTCAATTTGTTCGACCCCACTGGAAACGGATCTTCGCCACCGAACACAACCCGAAAACACCATCGTGCTGGGTGATGCCGTCCGGTTTACAGCTGGTGGAAAGCATCAATTCATTCTCATGAAGACAGGACCAATATCCCTACCAGGACCGACTTCGGTTGAGGTTTTCTGGGGTGTCCAAAAACCACGGGACTTGGTTTCGGTCTGGTACAAGTCAATCGGAGTTGGTCACGGACCAGGTTCACATTACTCATTTCTCGTTTGGAGGTCAAGGACGACCAGGTTTTGGGTCAGACTGGACTTGTAGACTATATAAATGACTCGATTGCCTCCCAAAACTGTGGTACCAAACGCACAGCACGTCCTTATCTAGAATTCTTGAACCCCTATCGTGGGTATGAACAATATATAGGACTGTTAATTACATAGTAAAAAGGCTTGATTCATCTTCATTCCCTGTAAAAACTATGGAAACTGAAAAAAAAAAAAAAACAACCAACCAACCAACCAACCAAACAAACAAACAAACAACAAACCAACAAACCAACCAACCAACCAACTGCGCTACGCGCGACCGCGTTCACCGCGTTCTCGTCCGAGGCGCCGCAAAGGAGCGTCCCGACACTTGGAGGTCTCCCCGCGCTGCCTCAGGAGCGAAGCTGGACGAAGCTGATCGGTCAATTGAATGAGGTCGTTTCAAAAAAATACCTCCTATATATTTATACAGTCATATAAGAAAATATCCTATAGTGGCTCGGATGTGGAGTATAGTGGAGATTCTTGTATTAAATCCGAAAAAAGGTGGATCAAAGGTAGATCCCGTACCTCCCCCAAATCAAAAATGGTGTCCTTTCATCTTGGAGTCTTGGAGGAGATTTAAAAACAAACAAAAGCACTACTCGTTTGACCCTGACCCCAACAGTTTCTTTTCTGCTTGGATGTCATACGACCGACCCAGGCGCCAACAAAAAGGCCGTACCCAGGCAATGTCTTGACTCTGGCAGGGCTAGCATGGGCTGGCAGCGTAGCAACACACGTCTGGTCTATGGCGTAGAAACACTCGTTCGTTGGAAACACGTGAGTCCAAGTCATCGTTGGTCTGGAGATGATGTGTCAACTCAGTCGTGTGAAACCTCACCTTGACAGACCCCCATTCATTCACCAACTCACCAGCGACGACATTAGACTGCCCAGCGACGACATCTCGCTGCAGCTGGTTGGTGTGGTCAAACCTGGGAGATGGTGACGACTGAGACGAGTCCAGCGGGTCGCAGCAGGTGGAGAGCTCCGTTTCCGTGTTCCACAACGGTCTACACCGTACACCCGAGGAAATGAACATGGAACCCGAAAACCAATGGGTCGGGTTGAGGAGGAAATAGTCATCCAGTCTGGTCCATGCCATCAGGTTCCATGTGGGTCTCTTCCCGGGTGTAACATATAAGAAACGCCGAGTTTCTTCGGACAATGAGACTGGAATTCTGAGCGTGAGACTGGGCCCCGGCAGCCGTGGTGACTTGGATGGACCACCGAGTTCGGACTCAGCACGGGTGTCTTCTTTGCTTCAAGAAAGAACCCAAAACTACGAGACATGTTCATCATTGTTTTTGGGAGTACCCTGTGGTAAATTCTCATGTATTTTGGGCCCTGATTCACAAAAAGGTCTGGGGAGAGGTCACAACCTCAAGAGGTGGCAATCACAATGACTCTATTACACCTGTCAGATTGAGCCACACACATGCTCAAATTCCATATGTTTGTCCTTATATATTAACTTATTAACCACTTGGCTTGGCTTGGTCAGATTGTACATCCAAGTGATCTCATGAATATCTTGACCCCTCATTGTTTCCTGCATTTGGTATAATTTAATGCTCCAGGGAGTCCGCCGCAGGGTGTCCTCCCACCCAAAATGATGCTGTGCATCTGCACCGCCGTTCCGTCCGCTCGCGTCCCCCTTCATCCAGTGGCCAGCTGGGTGCCCAAAGCCCCCAGTGTGGATGCTGCCGCAAGGCATCCTGACGAGGGCGTGGAGGCTGACGAGTGGAGAAGAATGACTCACCAACTGGAGGATATGGACATTTCTGCAAATAGGAACGGCGTCATGAACCAATGGCCTTGACAAATCTCCATAGGGTCGGAAAATTGCCTGTTAGGAGAAACAGGAATCTATATATACCAGTTCTATAGTGATTGCAAGTTGTGACCAATGCCAATCCCCAAAAAAAAACAAAAGGAAAAACAACACACCTGTAGTGACTGTCAATCATGCTGTGCCATATTTGCTGGCCTTTTCAGCAGACCTAAAGCCCCTGACTCATAGTGAACTGGATCCAAACTTCGTAGAGAAAAAGGAACTGCTATAACAGCGGCTATATATCGTATATATATCCCAAAGTTCCACTATATAAGGAACCAGGACTTCTAGGTACAGTGTACGCGGTTTTAGTTATTTTTGGAACCACTGGTTACCAGCTGAAAAAAGGCTATCCCCTGTCAACTGGATCCCCTGAAGCTTTATCATGTTTAGGGGCCCCAACCGGCACCCCTCTTCATGCTATGTTGCATCGGTTTTCATTCAGATCAGTCGTTTCCGGTCGACCGTCCCCCCTCGTCGCCTTCATGGTCTCGTTGCTTCGCTGCCCCAAGAGCGCCAAATACTCCCCGGCGCGGGTCTTTGGCGGCGTCCGGCTGTTGCAGAGCTCAACGGGGCAGAAACCCAGATGGTTCACCTGGTACCTCAGTCGGTGTCACCGGTGTTTCCACGAGCGTCCTGGGTCTCATGTTGGTAAGAATGCAGGCATGGTGGACAAGGAGTAGCGGATCCTCGTATATCCAAATGAACAAAAGGGCTGTTGTCAAGGTTGTGAAGCTACTTGAGGAGGTTAAGCTGGACATCAAAGTACCCACCCGCCTGACATGCCAAACTCACCTGACTCACCACATCGCTTGCCAAACCCTACGCAAAGAACAGAATTAGGGTTGGAACAAAAAGGGACTGTTACGATGCAAAGTGTCTGGTTGGTGATCAGTGCAAAGCTGTACAAGCATGTCTTCTTCCAAGAGGTGTTTATCTCAGGTCCAAGACAGGCATCCCGAATCCCGTCATTTAGCTGCCAGTATATGAGTATCTATAGGGCACAGAAAGCCGTTCATCATGAACGGATCCGTTTGCCTCCTTTCCTACAAGCCATCAGCTTGCTGAACTCACTTTTTGCACGCCGCAAAGCAATGAACCAGCGCTAAAGAAATGTCCGCCGCTTAAACCAGGCGATGAAAAGTGTCTGGAGCGTTTGCTCCGGCCTGACCTCCATCATGGATGTAACTCAACAAAGCGTTTGTGAAAGATATTGTCTTACCCAAACGCTCCTCACAAGTCTTCCAGGGTGCATCCAAACTCGGAGCAATCGACACTGGATTTGGCTGCCAAACAGAACTTTCAGGAGCGTCTGGTTGACTTGCGTGAACGCCGGTCAAACAGCCTCTGTGTCGGTTACCTGCAAAGGGGCTCTGCAATCATGACCACATGGATGCCGATCTCGAAAGAAACAGCTGCCAAGCAACAAAATGGCCATTCAGCATCATCCACCCATCAAGAAACCAACCTCGTACCAGTCCAACCACAGTTGCACTGTGCTTTCTCCGCACCTCTTCTCGTGCCACACGAAGAAAACGAGGCGGAGCCCAACGTCGCCAGGCCGTGGTGACCTGGGGGGCCCGGTCGAACCGGGCAGCTCGTGGGTCAGGGCCCATTCAAGCACTAATTACTTCAAGCACTTGAGGCCGGATCAGATCGAGTGCTGAAGATTTCAGGTTCAAGTTGCAACTATATACTATATGGGTGGTTCCTTGGGTGAACTGCGCCCAAGCATGTTCGTTCTTCCAAGGATCTGCAGTTCCCAAAAGTACATGTTTCAGCGGATGGATAATCCCAAATACACAAACTATTAGTAGAGTGTAAATGAGCAGCTGAAGGCCATCCAGAAACACCCAAGTCTTAGGGAATCTTAGGGATCTCCATTGGACACCCATTGGACCATTGGATGTAGGCACGGCTCCAACCATATTCCTAATCAGAAAGTGGGTTAGACCCCCTGGCCACCCATTGAACCGAAACGGTGGCGCCCTCCAGACCCGGTCGCCCCCACCTGTCCACGCAATGCGTTGGCCACGGAGGTCAGCAGTGCACGAGAAGATGTTAGGTCCCAATGAGGGTCTTCACCTGCTGTGTGCATGATGGAGTGAAGTGAATGTGGTGATTTCTGTATTTTCATGTATATTTCCCTCTGGGATTTCGATGGATCTCAACAAACAGTGAACTAAACACTATTGTGAAGAGATTCTGAACCGCAATCTTACACCTTCAGTCGATCTATACCAGCACATGTTGCTGGAAAAAAAACGACTGAAGAGGATCTTCTAGGCAGGCACCGGGCCTTCATTGACCTCCTTCATCTCCTTCTCGCCGCTTCGGCGACCTTCGCCCGGGCGCGCCGCTTCCACGACCTGCGCCGCCTCCGCCACCTGCGCCGCACCGGCCGCGAAAGCCGTGCGCAGGACGTGGCCCAGGCGGCCGAAGCCGCTGCGCAAGGCACTGAAGAGAGGCCTCGAGGCCGGTGCTGCGGCCGCATGGGGACAGAGATCTTGTGGATTTGTTCCGGCTGAAAAAGGTGAGTGTTCTATCTCTCTTGCCATGGCTGCAGACTTTCAGTGGGCAAGGCTGGGCAGAACTTTGACGAATAACATGATACATCTCATGGTCTTGGAGTCGTCTTTCTAGTTGATGATCCAGCTTATCAATGGGTTGATACTTGTCCCACTGCTTTGCAATATTCTGTAATCGTGGTTGCAGACAATAATGATCATCCACAAAAGAAACATAAGACACAGGTCCGTTCTTTCATTCGACCCTGTCGTCACCTCCTTCGTGCCCGGTGCCACCCCGGCCTGTCCAGCACACTCTCCGCCGTGCTCGGCAACGACGCCACGCAGCCGCTCTCGTCCGCGCGCGTCGTCGTTGAGGTCGCGTTGTTGAGATCCATCATCGGAACCACCAAGATTTCGTCGTTGTCCACGCGCGCCACCCGCGCACGTGCAGGCTGCGAGATGGTGTCCTGGTGCGGTTGGACTGCAGTGTGCACGTGTGGGGAGGTACAGTGCGTTATGGAGTGGCACACAGCAAGTGGACAAATCACATGGTGAAGTCCCCAGTGAAAAGAACTATAGTGTTGTTGTATGTTGATGTCGATGTTGATGTTGTTGTTGTTGCTGTTGCTGTTGCTGCTGTTGCTGTTGTTGTTGTCGTTGTGGTTGGTTGTTGTTGTCGTTGTGGTTGGTTGTTGGTTGTTGGTTGTTG